AGATAAGGAGACATAAATAACATTCTTCTAGTACTCTCTGCTTTCAGACAAGAGCCATGTGACATCAACAATAATATTCCCAGTGCCAAGACCTCTTCTGAACCCAGATTGTATTTGTCATTATAAATTAAGAGTAATAAAAAGTAGCTGTGATTGAGTCCATTCCAACTCATGGTGACTTTATACAGGTCAGAGTAGAACTATATTCTATAGGGTTTTCAGTGGCTGATTTTTCAGAAGTAGAACTCCAGGTGTTTCTTCCAAGATACTTCTGGGTGGATTTAAACTTCCAACCTCTTAGCACTCAAGTACATCAACTGTTTATATTGCCCAAAGATTCATGGCTTAGTGGTAAGGAGCTGAACTACAATACCAAAGTTACATGGTTCAAATCCACCAGCTGCTCCATGGGATAAGGATAAGCAATCTCCTCCCCTGTGATTTACTGCCTCTGAAAACCCAATGGAGGGTCAGCTATGAGTTGGTTCCAACTCATAAGTACACAATAACAACAATGACTACCAGTACAATAAAAGTAATAGTGATAGTAATAGCAGCTGACTTGTAGGATAGTTGAAAAAACTTAGAAAGATAACCCACTGCCAAAACGTTCATTTCAACACAAACATACCTTTAGAATAGAAAGGAATTGCCTCACAGATTGCCTATAGATTGTTAGGAAAGCAGACTGCCTCATCTTTCTCCTGAGAAGCAGCTGGTGGATTCCAAGAGCCGACCTCTCAGTTAGCAGCCCAAAGCCCAATCTACTGTGCTGCCAGGATGTCTTGGCTGAGAAAGATAATGCCCATAAAGTGCTGCTCTTGAGATCTAGCACATAGATGACATCAGTAAATGGCACTTATTCTTTTATTTCATTGTTATTATTATGGTTCAGTTACATGACTTGAATGTTCTGTAGTTTGCAAGGATCTTATTCAAAGATAATGCTCATAATTTTTGGTCACCAGATGCTTGCAGGCTAGTGATCACTAGCAGGGTGAATCTCAGGCCACATCCCAGACAGTATCTCCCCAAAGAGACTACTGTGTGCAGGCACAGAGCCCAGAGTTCCTATAACTCTCACAAAGCTCATGTGCTACTGGAGAAAGCATGCATATGGGCCAGTAAGTGGATTTCAAGCAGTGTGTAGATTACCACAGGCTAAATGTGATTTGAAATGCCTGTAGGAAGCATAGACCAGGGGAACTTTAGAAAAACAGGTGGCCTGGCTCAATGGGCTCACTATTTGTCTTGAAATTCTCACTATAAGGGACTATGGAGAGTTGTGACTTCCCTGGAGAGACCGTTCAGGGACCTTCTCATTCACAACTTCAGTCAAAGAGAGCAATCTTGACTTTGCTACAAGATTGCAAGTTTATTGTTCTTCATCTTGGACATCATGCAGATGTGCCACTCTTTGTATCCTAGGGCATACTTTTAAGACTCCTAAATTTAAAAAAAAAGACTCATAAATAGTCCCACCTTTAAATCTGGCATGCTATTGTTGTTTATTTGGCCTGAGGGTCTTTGGCTCTCGGGCCTACCTAACACAGATCTGAGCCTGAATGTCCTGTCTGCCCTAGGCTGGCTGGTTGTTAACAAAGCCGATAGAATCCTGGGAGAATGAGGGTACCTAAAGGGGAGGCAAGATGTCTTAGAGAGGATAAAACCAAGTTTTTCCTTGGAAGCTAGGATTTCGAAACTTCATCTCACATACTTTGGATGGCACAGGGTAGGACAGAGTTCAGACATGTTTTTCATAGGGTCACCATAAGTCTTACTGATTTAAATGGCACATAATAACAAATACAATGGTAATAGAGCCATAGGGTCTTTCAAATGTATCCAGGAGGGACCAGTCCTTGGAGAAGGACATCATGCTCAGAAGGGTAGAGGGGCAGCACAGGAGAGGAAGACCCAGGATAAGGTAGATTGATACAGTAACTAGGGCAATGGGGGTAGGTGTATCAGAGTGAGTGAGAATGGCTCAGGACAGGGCAGGCTTAAGTCTTGTTGTATATAGGGTTGCTATGAGTCACAGGCAATTCTATAGCACATAACAACAGCAACAGTCCCACCAGGCCGATAGGCAATACCATGATGGATAGAGAAAAAAACCTGAAATTTTCAACAATGTCATCTTGCCTGGATCCACAATCACTTGGTACAAGTATTAAAAAAAAAATCAAAAGAAGATTGCATTAGGAAAGTCTACTATAAAGCAATACTCTGAAGTACTAAGAAGAAATGATGTTAGTTTGGAGACTAAGGTGACCTGATTCAAGTCATGTTTATGAGTCTGAGAGCTGAACAGTGAATAAGGATGGGAGACAAAGAATATATGCCTTTGAGCTGTGGAACTTGAGGAGAGTACAAAAGCCCCACGAATTGCCAAAAGAAGAAATTAGACATGTCTTGGAGGAAGTGAAGCCAGAGTGCTCCTTAAAGGCAAGGATGGTGAATCTTTGTCTCACACACTTTGGGCATGTTGTTAGGAGAGTCTATTCCTTGAGGGAAAGGGATATCATGCTTAGAAAGGTCAAGGGTCAGCAAAAAAGAAGACCATGAACAATATGACTACAACAGTGACTACAACAACAGCCTCAAGCATGTCAGAGATGTTAAAAATGGTACAGGGTAGGACAGGGTTCAGACCTGGTTTTCAGAGGGCCACTTGGGTCTTACAGAATTAAATGGCACATAACAAAGAAACAGCAATAATCACTTCTTAGGGTCTTTCAAATGCTTCCTAGATCTGAAAGTTGGACAATTAAAAAGGATGACAGAAGAAAAAGAATACTGAATATCACATGGACTGCCAAAAAAACAACTGACTTAGAGGAACTGCAATCAGGGTCATTCTTAGAAACACGGATGGTGAAATTTCATCTCACACACGTTGGACGTGTTGTTAGAACGGACCAAGGCCTGATAAAAAAAATCATGCTTGGGAAGGTGGAGGGTCAAAGAAATAGAGGAAGACCCTCAGTAAGATGGATTGACACAGTGAAAGTAAAAATGGGCTCAAGTATGTAAGAGATAGGGGGGCGGGGAAGAGAGGGAGAGATGGTGATGATAGTGCAGGATAGTACAATTTCAGATATATGGGATCACTTTGAGTCCTGATCAATTTGACGACACCTAACAGCAATAGGACATTGGGAGTTGCACTACCAACTTAAACGTGCAGTTCAACTCCAAAAAGGAAGGGCAATCTCTTCCAGAGAAGTCTATAGCCTTGAAAACCCACTGGAGGTTCAATTACGAGTTGGTTCTGTCTTGCTGTCAATGACTGAAAGAATCTCACAGAGATAACAATTGGTTATCTTGCTTAGCTGTTGACTGAAAGGTGATTCAAGTCCACTCAAAAATGTCCCTCAGTCAAAACAACTATGAGATATTATCTCACCCCAGTAAGAACAGCAAAATTTAACAGGATGGCAAACATCAAATGCTGGAGAGGTTGTGGGGAAACTGGAACCCTTATTCACTGTTGGTGGTAGTGTAAAATGGTGCAACCACTATGGAAGGTGGTATGGTGCTTTCTCAAAAAGTTGCAAATAGAAATACCATTTTACCCAGCAATTTCACTACTGAGAATTTACCCTAAAGAAACCATAACCGCCACCCAAGTAGATATATGCACACCCATGTCATGTATATTGTGGCTTTGTTCACAATAGCAAAGAGCTGGAAACAACCCAAGTGCCCATCAACAAATGAATAGATAGAGAAAGTCTGGTATTGTCACACAATGGAATACTATGCAGCATTGAAAAACAAGGAACTCAGGAAATATTATGTAAAATGGATGACCCTGGAGGACATTATGCTGAGTGAAATATCTCAGTCACAAAAGGACAAATACTGCATAGGACTAATGTAAAACAGAACTGACATCAGGGTTGAGGGAAGACAGAAAAGGAGGGGAGGAATGATCTATATTCCATTGAAACAGAGAGGGAGAGAACTGTTTAAAAGGGACATATGAATGGGTATTCTTGTCATTATAGAAGTCCAGAGTGAAGGCTGCATAGTGGAGTAGACTTGGGGGAAGGGATTGCATAACAATGAAAGAGTTTTTATTTTTCTTTTCCAGGAGGGGAGTAAATTTGAGGGGTGGGGGAAGTGGGAAGGGTGCAGCAATGAATGACTGGAAGCCCTAAGTATCTGTGAACTTTCATTAAAATTAATTAAAAAAAAAAGAATGTCCCTCAGAAGAAAGCCCTGGTAATTAATTTCTGAAAAAATTATCCATTAAAAACTCTATGGAGACAGTTCTATTCTAACACAAGTAGGATAGCAATGTTGGATGGAATTTAATGGCAACAGGCTGGTTGGAGCTCACCAGGGCCCTGAGTCTAGACTGAGCACTATAAATGACTTTTGGAGGAATCAGGAAACTATAGAGCTGCTCTTGGAAATTTTATTATAAATCACTTTTCAGAGACAAAGAGCAGCTTTTGCATTTAGGCTCCAGAGAATATAAAAGTAAGAAAATGTAATACAGCTTTAAAAGGTGGCACCCACTCTGATAATGAATAGATTTTTCCTTTGTAGCAGGAGATCCATTAAGCAGTCAACACTTGAAAATGTTTCTAAATGGAAACCAGAACAATTCCAAACTATTGTCTTCTAGTTAATTCTGACATAAAGCAACCTTGTAGGACAGAATCGCCCCAAATTATTTCCTAGGTTTTAATCTTCATGGAAGCACATTATACATCATTTGCCCATGGGCAGTTTACAGGTTTGGAACCATTATTAGTCTTTCAATTATCAGCTGGTCATTTAACCACTGTGCCACCAGGGCCCCTTTGCTGCTTGCTTAATAACTTTTTAATCAAGGACCTGGTACTAAGCCCTGACTATTTCCCGTCTGCCTGAACTCTTCTCTCTAAATGCAGAGACACTATGCACCTTGGATGAGCCCGAAGGTGGGTCTGAGGGAGTATGGAGTCCAAGAAACCTCAACTGCAGCTCTGGTGCCCAACACTTACCTGAAACTCAAAGTTAGTGTGTTCCAGAAACTTCTGGTTCATAGTCTCTGCAAATTTGTTGATAGCCCTTAAGAAGACCCTGAAAGAAGGAGAGAGATGACCAGGTCATCTTAGTACATTTGTTCAGGATCCTGTCTTTTACTCCCCCCTACCCTCCCTCCGGAAGAAACTAAAAAAGCAAATGTTGATTCAGAATGTCAGCTGACCCAGATTAGCACCTGTTTACACTCCAGGCCTTTGGCCATATTTGCCTTACAAGAATTTAAGAAATGCCAGTGTCCTTTTGAAAATCTTTATCATTTGTTTTTAAGATCTGACAAGCTTAAGGAAAAAAATACTCACTACCTAGGGAGATATCAAGAGAAACTACCATCTTCCAAAAAAAGAAATACCCCGGCAAATAACAGGCCATGTCATCTAACATACCAACAACAGACCATAGCATCTAGCGAAAATTGCTGTCAACATTTGATGAACATAATTCAAAAGTGTCCCTAGATGTGTGTGTGTGTGTGTGTGTGTGTGTGTGTGTATGTATATATAAATGTTTATGTGTATGTATATATATATATATATACACACACACATACACACATGGATGATATTTTAAGTATATCATTTTGATGAATAAAATCATAGGATAAATGCTGTTTTGAAGTAGACTGCCTTTTCATTCAACAATAAATTCTGGAGTTCTTTGCGTGCCATTGAGTACAGATATATATCATCCTTTTTAATCACGGAAGAGCATTCCACTGTGTGACTGGATTGCAGTGTATTTAGCTGGTTTTTCATTGAGGATCCTTATGTTCTCAGCTTTTCTGTTGTAAACAATGCTCCAAAGATCATTTTTTTTTTAAATTTGCCTTGTACCTATCCCAGGTTTTCTTCTTGGTATGGCCACATGCTATGCACATTTAACATTTTAGGACCTGCTGTCAAATTGTGTTTTTCCTTAAACATCTCCCTATCCACCTTCTTCCTCAAGGCTAAGCCCTACTGATTATCTTGCATCCTCCTATTTCTTGTCTCTTCAATCTCAAGAACACATTTGCCCTATGGGACAGTTCTGCTTTTGTCGACCACCTACTTTTATGGCTCCCTACTGCTCACATGGTAAATCCAAACTCTTTCACTTGGCAGTTATTATTCTCCATCACTGGGTCTTACTATGCATCAAACCGTGTTTCATACCATATATGTTGGAATCTTAATCCTTATTCCTATAAATTTAATCTCCTTTGGAAATAAGGTTTTCTTTGTTATGCTCAAGACACCATACCAGGATACGGTATTTCTAAAACCTAATCATTTCTGTACTTAGAAAAGTAGAGGGTAAATTAAAGAGAGCAAGACCCTAAAGGAGATAGATTGACCAAGCAACTGCAACAGCAGGCTTGAAAATGACAGCAATCTTAACAACGGTGCAGGGTAGGGCAAAGTTTTTATTTGTTGCTCATAGGGGCCTTATGAGTTGTAGTTGACTCGATGACATCTAACAAAAACATCAATTTCTGAGTTTTATAGACATCAGTTTAGACACAGAGAAAGAAAACACAGAGGAAGACCAATGCCAAAAGAGAACTGTCTGCAAAGCTAGGAATGCCCAGACTTACACCAAGGAAGCAAGCAACATGGCCTTGACTTTCATTTGTACTCTTAGCTTCCAGAACTATGAGAAAGTAAATCTCTAGCCTTTAAAGTTACTCACTTGCAGTAGTATTATTTTAGCAAAACAAGAAAAAGGAAACAAATCTCAACCTTTCATTCCAGGCTTATTTCTCACTATTAACTTGAGTTTCTAGTCGTTTACTTAGTACATGCCATGCTCTTTCTTTGTGTAGAATGTTCTGCTCCTTCTCATCTCCAAGTAACAAAATTCTTCCTATCACTCACAGTTCATGTAGGTCAACAGAGTTATCCATTATGAAGTCTTTAATAATTTTCCCTAGCCTTAAGTGATTTCTGTGACCACTCAATCCTTGAAGTTAACTCCTGTGTCACTTTTACTTCTTCATTTTACCTTCTAACTACTTGCATATAGAAAATTTGCTTTTGTGGATAGTGAGCTTCTTTAAGGATAGATCTGCTGGACTGTGTCCCTCAAAGGATGCTCATCGCAAATCCCCTTTTAGTGTTCAGTAAGATCGAGGATGATTGATTTGCTAGACTCAGTCACATCTTCACCACTGGGATTAGAGGCACCCTAAAGGACTTCATCCACTCACCCTGTGATTCTAGTATTGTAGCTTGATCCTTGAATTCTCCCAGAATTCCAGACTTGTAGTCCAGCTCTCCATGTTTCTATTTGTCAGACTAATAAGCATCTCAGAAATATGCCAGTTGTTGTTGTTATGTGCATCAAGTCGCTTGCAACTCATAGTGGCCCCATGTACAAGAGCCCTAAACATGGTTCTATCCTGTGCCAACCTACCCATCTCAAGCGCACTTATTCCCACCACTCCAGTCACAGAATCGATCCATCTTATCGAAGGTATTCCTCTCCTTCGCCGCCCCTCCACTCTCCTAAACATGATGTCCCTCTCCAGGGACCAGTCCCTCCTTGCAACACACCCAAAGTATGTCAGACAAAGCTTCAGAATCCTTGACTCCAAGGAGCATTCTGGCTTCACCTTCTCCAGGAAAAACCTGTTTGTTCTCCTAGCAGTCCATGGTATATTCAACACTCTTCTCCAGCACCACAACTCAAAGGCAATAATTCTCTTTCGATCATCCCTATTCACTGTCCAACTCTCTGATGCATAGCACGTAATTGCAAAGACTATAGCCTGGATCAGATGCACATTAGTCTCCAGGCTGACGTCGTTGCTCTTCAGTACTCTTGAGAGGTCCTTCACAGCTGACTTTCCCAATGCAATTCGTCTCCTGATTTCCTGGCTGCTGTTACCAAAAGTGTTGACTGTGGAGCCAAGCAAACTAAAACTGTTAACTATCTCAATCTTTTCACCATCCATACTGATGCTGCCAATTGGCCCAGTGGTGAGAATCTTTGTTTTCTTGTTGTTGAGCTTCAATGCATATAGGAGGCTGCAGTCCTTGACCTTCTGCAGCAAGTGCTTCAGGTCCTCCTCAGTTTCAGCTAGCAGGGTTGTGTCATCTGCATAACACAGGTTGTTCATGACTCTTCCACCAATCCTGATGTCACATTCCTCCTCGTACAGCCCAGCATCTCAGATGATCTGTTCTGCATACAGATTGAAAAGGTATGGAGAGAGAATACATTGCTGACTGACCCCCTTCTTGATTTTGAACCATGTAGTGTCTCTTTGCTCTGTTCTGACAACTGCCTCTTGATCCAAGTATAGGTTTCACATTAGCACAATCATGTGTTCTGGGATTCCCATTCTTCTCATAGCCAGCCACAGCTTGTTGTGATCCACACAGTCAAACGCCTTTGCATAGTCAATGAAGCACAGATAGACATTCTTCTGGTATTCTCTGCTTTCTGCTAAGATTCATATAACATTAGCTATAATATCCCTAGTAGCACTACCTCTTCTAAATCCAGCCTGCACATCTGGCAGTTCTTTGTTGACATATTGTTCCATATGTTTTTGGATAATTTTCAGCAGAATCTTGCTTGCATGTGATATTAATGATACTGTTCAATAATTTCCACACTCTGTTGGGTCACCTTTCTTTGGAATGGGAACAAATATAGATCTTTTCCAGTTAGCTGGCCAGCTGGCTGTCCTCCAGATTTTTTGGTACAACTTAGTGAGCACATCCAGGGCAGTGTCTGTTGAAATATGTCAATTAGTAAGCTGTCAAGTCCTGGAGACTTGTTTTTTGCCAATTCCTTCAGAGCAACTTGAACTTCCTCCTTCATCACCATAGGCTCTTGCTCATATGTTATTTCATTAAATTCTTCTGTGTCAGCCAATTCCTTCTGATACAGTGACTTTGTGTACTCCTTCCATCTTCTCTTGATACTTTCTGGATCATTTAATATTCTACCCAAACTATCCTTAAGTATTGCCACCCCGTGGCTTGAAATTGTTTTTCAACTCCTTCAGCTTAAGAAATGCTAAGCGAGTTAGATCTTTTTGATCTTCTGATTCCAGCTCTCCATTTCATTATAGTATCTTGCTTTGTCGTCCTGGGCTGCTTTTTGAAATTTTCTGTTCATCTCTTTGATTTCTTGGTTTCTTCCATTGGTTTTGACTCCTTAGCGTTCTAATGCAATACTCAGAGTCTCATCTGACATCAATCTTGGTCTTTTCTTCTTTTTCAGCCTTTGTAATGATCCTTTGCATTCTTCCTGGCCGATTTTCTTGATATCCTCCCAGAGCTCATTCGTGCTCAAGGCCTCAAACCTGTTCCTGAGATGATTTTGAAATTCAAGTGGGACAGACTTAAGGTCAAATTTTGGTTCCAAAAACCAAAAAATTTTGGTTCCCATGGACTTGATTTAAGTTTCCTCAACTTCAGCTTGAACTTGCATGTGAGTAGTTGGTGGTCTGCCCCACAATCAGCACCCGGCCTGGTTTTCACTGCTAATATTGAGCTTCTCCACCAAGTCTTTCCACAAATGTAATCAATTTGATTCCTAGTGAAATTCATGTGTATAGCCCGAGTTTATGTTTCTTATAAAAAGTATTTGCAATGAATAGATCATTGAATGTGCAGAACTCTATCATTCTATCTCCAGCCTCATTTCTTTCACTGAGCCTATGATTTCCAGCTACTGATCCTTCTTCCCTGTTCCCAACGTTTTTGCTCCAGTTGCCCATTATTATCAATGCATCTTGATTGCATTGATTGATTGATCAATTTCTGACTGCAAAAGTTGGTAGAAATCTTCTATTTCCTCCTCTTTGGCTCTAGTTGTTGGTGCGTATATTTGAGTGATAGTGGTATTCCCTGGACTTCCTTGTATGCATATGGATATTATTATCCTGTTGCTCACCACATTGTATTTCAGGATGAATCTAGACATGACTTTTTAAATTATGAAACCAACACCATTTTTTCTCACCTTTTCATCCCCAGCAGAGTAAACCACATCATCATCTAATTCAAAATGTCCCATGCCAAGCCATCTCATTTCGCCAATAC